TGCTAGATAAATGGGTGCATAACAATGCAACGAATGAGCATAACAATGCTAGATAAATGGGTGCATAACAATGCAACGAATGAGCATAACAATGCTAGATAAATGGGTGCATAACAATGCAACGAATGAGCATAACAATGCTAGATAAATGGGTGCATAACAATGCAACGAATGAGCATAACAATGCTAGATAAATGGGTGCATAACAATGCAACGAATGAGCATAACAATGCTAGATAAATGGGTGCATAACAATGCAACGAATGAGCATAACAATGCTAGATAAATGGGTGCATAACAATGCAACGAATGAGCATAACAATGCTAGATAAATGGGTGCATAACAATGCAACGAATGAGCATAACAATGCTAGATAAATGGGTGCATAACAATGCAACGAATGAGCATAACAATGCTAGATAAATGGGTGCATAACAATGCAACGAATGAGCATAACAATGCTAGATAAATGGGTGCATAACAATGCAACGAATGAGCATAACAATGCTAGATAAATGGGTGCATAACAATGCAACGAATGAGCATAACAATGCTAGATAAATGGGTGCATAACAATGCAACGAATGAGCATAACAATGCTAGATAAATGGGTGCATAACAATGCAACGAATGAGCATAACAATGCTAGATAAATGTGCATAACAATGCAACAAATGAGCATAACAATGCCAGTGGAACGCAAAAATGAGCGAAAACCGTTGCAAAACGAATGTTCCGGAGCCAAAACACGCAGTTCGGGGTCCCGGAAATGGGCTGTTAAGCACCGAAAATTGTATTCGACCTCGAAGTGGGTTTCTCAGCCCCCAGTGTCCCTCAAAATGGATGAAATAAGATGTATGCCAAAAATCAGAGCAATAGGAGATGGTTAAGCGGTCCCGAACCGAGGCACACGGCCTGACGGCTCCGAAAACCGGAAACCGGACTCCGAAATGGGAAAAATGGCCTACGGCCACCAAATGTAGCCTACAGACATTGAGAGATGGTCTACGGGACCTCTTCCTCCCCTCAGGAAAAGAAACAGAGAAAACCGAGTCAGGTTCGCAAACCGAGACAAGGCACAGAAAAGGGTTCGGAAGTCCGGAGGCAGGGCTTACGGCCGCGACCCTGAAACTTCTGAACGAGCACATTATGCAACATCACCAAGCGCTCAATCGGTGACGTCTGAGTCTTAAGGTCGGTCAAAAATGAGGTGTCTACACAAACCTGCCCAACACCTCCTATAACTCCAAATGAGAAAATAAGGGACAACAACAACAATTATACAATGACAGAATCTACGGAACCTAAGTCCGGATACAATAATCAAATGGGAAAAGACCGGGGTCACTATAAAAAATGTGCCAAAGATATTCTCATGGACCCAGTAAACGTAACTAGGTGAATGGAAGCAAAAACATGGGAGAATGAGCAAAAGAATCAATAAATAGCATGAAAAACAGGTGTGCTTACTCTATGGATGTTGCTCCTCTATGACCTAAGCTAAAAGAATCAAACAATGATGGGTTTTTATACCTACAAAGTACAAACAATGATAGCAAAAACCCAAAAATTATTGACCTGTAGCAAGAAAAAAATTAAATATCAAAAACTAATTCAGAAAAAATCCATAACTATGACCTTGAATTCAAACTTCGACTTCGATTTGTGACCTTTGTCTTGACCCAGCTTCACCATTATACGAACTGAAGAACCAAGGGATTCCACAAAATTGTAAGAAATCTATGGTGGTGTATTTTGGCTTGTAGTGGCGGAGCAAGGTGGTGCTCTGGTAAGAAAAATGATGGGTTTTGTGTAACGCCCTCAAAAATATACCCATTATATATATCATTGACTTGCATTATTTAAAGAAAACACTTGGTTTCTAAACCCAACCAACCTGAAACAAACCTGCCCAACACATCCTATAAGTCCAAATGAGAAAATAAGGGACACAACAACAATTATACAATGACAGAATCTACGGAACCTAAGTCCGGATACAATAATCAAATGGGAGAAGACCGGGGTCGCTATATTTTGGGTGTGATGAGATTGGTGGTGGTTGATTAGCAGTAGTAGATTGAAAATTTGGGGCTTCGAATCAGTGGATTTGAGTGGTTGTTGACATGTGGTTGGCTGTTGAAAGCAATCAGAGAGAATGAAATGGGTAAGAGATTGGAGGGTTTGAAAGGGATAAACCAACTGAGTCTAATCCAAAACCTTTTGATTATTGAACCATAAAAGAGAATGAAGGAGGAAGTGTGTGAGAGAAGCAAAGAGTGAGACTGAGAGAAGGTGTGTTTGAAATTTGAAATTGGAAATTCAAATAAGAGAAAGAGTTGAACAGAAAGGGATGGGTTGGAAGAAGAAACAAAAGGAGAAAATGTATCCTCCACCGTAAGATGTATGCCAAACAAACAATCTCAGTCATTAAAAGACAATTTATTTTTTGGACATTTTTAGACCATTAGATTGTGTTAATCCTAACCATTCAAAGTGACATCTAGGGCAAAATTGTAGTACATTTTCAAAAAGCTAGGTGCTTTATTATATAGATAATTGTGCTAGACTTAAGAACCAAAAGATATAAACTACTTCAAATAAAACCAAGTCTACATGATCATTCTCTATCCATTTAATTTTTCATAAGTCAAATCCTTCCACATGTTCATCCTAGTGTAAGAGAAGAGCCATACTTAATCCCAACAGTGAGGCCTCATTTGGGAATATGCTATTTTAGTAACTTTTTGACTTTTTGACTAAAATATGAACTAAAAAGAACTAGTTTGTTTGGGATGAACTTTTTGACTTTTTATGAAAAATGTGAAAATAAATAATATAAAAATGGGTAAATTGACAACCCTTGTCATAACTCGTGACAGTATGAGGGCATAGCACTATGCAGACTGGCAGCCATCATGTCATGTTTGTAACTTGTGTTCAATATTCATTTTTCTTTTTCTTTTCTTTTTTTTTTTTTTGAAAATTGACTTGGATTTGAAAATTTCTAAAAACGTGTTTGGTTACAAATTTTCTCAATTTTTTTTTTAAAATTACTCCTCTCTCTATTATACATCAATCAATCACTTTTTCTCTCTCCTCTCCTTTTCTCAATCACTTTTTCTCTCATACACATCTACTCAACTATAACAAAATATCAATCATCCCAAACTCCCAAACTTCAAAACTATTTTCAAAATATACAACCAAACAAATAAAAAAAAATCCTAAACTCTCTCCCTAAATTTTTTTTAAAAAATTTATCGCAAAATACAAACCAAATACACCCAAGACTCCCAATAAATTTTTTCCACGCAATCACAATGAACAATTTTTGCTAGCTGCCTAGTACACGAAAAGGTGTGAAACGAAAAACCAATTTCTGCCTAATACACCAGCTACTGTGCATAGGTTTGTAGGCTACTGTGTATAGGTTTGTAGGATAAAAATTGTAGGCTTTTTGATTTTTTTAGTGACTATTTGGCTATTAGGCTAAAACAGACACTTGCCAAACGAGGCTTGAAATCATAGATAAACCAAATGGTGCATGTTTTCTTTCTAGCATATGAAATATTTCAATAGTTGATCAAGTCAACTACCAGTACATGATCTTCAATTGGAGCAAACCATGCATGAACTTCTGATAGTCATTATAGTCAACACAAGAATATATAGTGTACTAATAAATAACAAAAGAATAATATAAAAACATATATATATATATATATAATATTTGAATAGCTTAGAATAAAAGGAACAATTGTCAATTCAACAAGTATTTGCTCTTGCCGTTGAATTATGTTAGCACTGCTTCTTGTGAATGGGGTTGCTTCGTACTGTGTCGATATAGACTTTCAAAGGAGGGGAATCAAAAATTTGTCACAGAGAGAGAGAGAGAGAGAGAGAGAGAGAGAATTAGGAAGCATTATACACAAGATATACATAAATAGAAATCATGAAAACATGTTGCAAAGTCATGTAGCAACAAGTCCAAAATAGTTGATGGAGAAGCATAAGCCCATGTCAATCCATAACCAAAAAAAAAAAAAAAACAAACAAACAAAAAGAAAAAGAAAAAGAAAAAGAGCTTCACTTAATAATATATAATTTATTATGTGTAGCTTTACCTTCATAGCTTAAGAAATTTATTCAATATCATGCATTTTGACATGAACTTCTTTATCACTTCTCGAAGAGGAGGATCTTGTCATTTAGTTGAGAGTATATCTACGATCAAGGAAGAATTGGATGCATCTACCAAAAAACCCATCTGAACCATTTCCTCAATGAGTATTAATGCCTCGTAGCACTTGTGTTGTCTAATAAATCCTCGGATAATAGTGTTGTAAGTGACATCATTTGGCAAGCAACCACTCTGTTCCATTTTAACAAACAACTCTTTAGCTTCATGTAGTAGGCCTTCTTCACAAAGGCCTTGTATCATCATAGTGTATGTCTTAACATTAGGATGTTATCCCTTGGAAGAAAGGTTACTAAAAAGTGCCCTCTTAGTATCAAGTGTTTTTATCTTTGCAGAATGTATCAATGAGAATATTGTACATAACAACATTAAGATCTAAACCGTTCCTTTCCACCATGTGAAATAATAACAATGCTTCAGAAATATGGCAATTTTTGCACAACCCGTCCAATAAGACACTATAAGTTCGAAAATTTGGAATTATTCCTACAGTTTGCATCTCATTAAAAAGTTCTTGAGCATCTCTACATCTACCTGATTGAAACAGGCCCTCTAGCATAGCACTAAAGGTTTCGATGTTAGGTTTCAACCCCCTCCGAGGTCTTTCTCAAAAGAGATGCATGGTGTGACGGTCTGGGTTTAGACCCAATCTTTCCTGTTCATTTGTTTTGAATTTAAACTTGTTGAGGGTTGTATTTTTACCTCTTTAGGTCTCATGGGGCATAGGGAGTTTAGAACCTTGGAGTTTTCCTCAAGGAGTATTAATGCCTCATAGCACTTGTGTTGTCTAATAAATCCTCAGATAATAGTGTTGTACGTGACATCATCTGGCAAACGACCACTCTGTTCCATTTTAACAAACAACTCTTTAGCTTCATGCAATAGGCATTCTTCACAAAGACCTTGTATCATCATAGTGTATGTTTTAACATTAGGATGTAATCCCTTGGAAGAAAGGTTACTAAAAAGTGCCCTCTTAGTATCAAGTTTTTTATCTTTGCAGAATGTATCAATGAGAATATTGTACATAACAACATTAAGATCTAAACCGTTCCTTTCCACCATGTGAAATAATGACAATGCTTCAGAAATATGGCAATTTTTGCACAACCCGTCCAATAAGACACTATAAGTTCGAAAATTTGGAATTATTCCTACAGTTTGCATCTCATTAAAAAGTTCTTGAGCATCTCTACATCTACCTGATTGAAACAGGCCCTCTAGCATAGCACTAAAGGTTTCGATGTTAGGTTTCAACCCCCTCCGAGGTCTTTCTCAAAAGAGATGCATGGTGTGACGGTCTGGGTTTAGACCCAATCTTTCCTGTTCATTTGTTTTGAATTTAAACTTGTTGAGGGTTGTATTTTTACCTCTTTAGGTCTCATGGGGCATAGGGAGTTTAGAACCTTGGAGTTGCTGAGCAAGCTGCGAGGTCTGGTAGGTCGTGGTTACGGTTAAAAGGATTGTGCCTGTGAGGTGGTGTGGTCGCGCTCGCGATGGGCCGCGACCAAAAGTGGCTTTCAGGTCTGTGTATGGCAGGAAAGTACGTGGCCCGCGAAGGGCCGCGAGGGGGGGGCCCAACTAGCATGCTCGTGCCCACGACCATCTAGGTCGCACCCGCGAGGTTAGGTTCGCGCCAGCGATCCGGTTTGCCTATAAATATCAATAAAGTTGAAAGATATCTGTTTTTGATCCTCATCTTCTCCCTGTCCTCTCCAGACACCATTTCCAACCCCAAAGGTATAAAACCTTGGTTTTCATCTACTTCCATACATTTCTCACCCCTAGTACCTCAGACTTTATTGTAGAGGAGGTTGAGGGCATTGTTTTAATCTGAAAAGTTCGGGTTTTCATCATCGTCAGATTTTGGACTTGGGTCTTCTCCTCTTCTTGATTTGAGGTAGGGGTTTTATTAACAATATGCATGTTATTTAATTTCGTTATATGCTATTTCTTTTGGTTATGAATTTTTGAAAAGCTAGGTTTTGGGTTATATATGTAGAAAGGCATAAATTTTGAGAAAAGACTATGGTTTTAGGTTATGGGTTGAAGTTAGTAATCTATTGGTGGTTGTGTTGGAAGGAAAATGGAATTTGGAAATGTTATGGAATTTTTGGTGGAAAATGGTTTAGTTGAAAAAAAATGTTTTCTTGGAATCATTGGAAAGTATCGAGTAATGTTTACTCTTTTCGAGAAAAGGGTTTTGTTGGAAAACGATTTGAACGGTTTTGGAGATTGAATATTTCTGTTGAGGTTCACAAGACTCGTAAGGAGTGTGAATGTTGGTTATTGGAAATTAGTGAGATTTTGTAAAAGTCACGGGATTCCGAATTTGAGAAATGACATAGATAGCATGTATAGCTTTCTATTACGAACACTAGTCTTGGAGATTTATTCATTATATTTACCGTCTTGTTGTTTTGAAAAGGGTTGCTAGAAAGGTGCTTTGAAAATCTTGCATTGCATTGTTTTAAAGAGAAAATGCATGTCTTATTGTGACATCCCATATGCATTCAACTTATGGCATTGTTAAACATCATACATGTCATTAAGATTACCTCTATTGGGCTTATTGCTCACCCTACGTAGAAAACTATTTTCAGGTGGATTTGGCGTGCCTCCACCAAGACAGTGGCTTGGGAGGATCATGGAGCTTGATGCTTGTATTGTTATTGGTTTTGCTTTCTTTTAAGCCAAGGGCCTTTTGTTTTGAGTTTATAACTCTTTTGTTGTAATCCAGGCAAGGCCTTGGAAACTTGTAGCCTTTAAGGCATTGACTTGTATTAATTTAAGTATTATCCTCTTGTATCGCCTGCTATGGTTTCACACTGTAAGCTCAATGTATGTAATTAAATCTTGTAATAATAAAGGGATTCTGATGTAAGCATGTCTCATAAACAAATCACAATAGGAGTTTTCACATGAGTGAAGATATGTGAAGATATTATAAGGGCTTTAGATGTCTATTTATTTTGGAGCGTTGCACATGGCCTCATCTATTTTCATCTTCTTGCAATATCCACTAATCAAAATGTTGTGACTAACAATATTAGGGTGAAGGCCCTTGTCTACCATGGTATTGAACACTCTCATTGCTTCATCCATGTGGCCTTGCAAACAATATCCATCCATTAGAGTATTATATGTGACTACATCAGATCCACACCTCTTTGTATCATGACTTCAAGTACCCCATGTGCCTGTGCCTCTTTCATCGTCCCTTCCTTAGTTCATGCGTCCACCAAAACAGTACATGTACGAACATCTGGAGCAATACCACTATCCAACATTTCTCTAAACATTCCAGTAGCCTCCTTCCACCAGCCAAAATTACATAGGCCATGAATCAAAGAAGTATAAGTGACAACATTTGGGAAAATACCCCTTTCATCCATTTTAGAAAAGAGTTTGAGTGCATCATCCACCATTTTATCCTTGCAAAGACTGTCAATGATTATACACTACTGTGTCAGGTTTACAACTTCCCTCTTCCATTATCCTAAGCAATCTAATAGCCCTGATAGTGTTCTCCGTTCTGTAGAGCCCATTAACAATGGTTCCACACATAATCACATTGGGTTCAATTTCGCTCATTCTTATTAATTTCTTAAATCTCTACAGCTTCAGGGATTTTGTCATCCAAAATAAGTCCATTTAACAGAGTGTTGAGGGTAGTTACATCAGGTGCGTTTGAAGAGGGTACCCAAAAGAGAGAACCCAAAGAGACTTGATTCAGGTGGCAATAACAGTTAATAGCAATGTTGAAGGTGCAGTTATTGACCTGAATACCTAGAAAGTGCAATTTCCCAATAAGAGGAAGAGCGATGTCGTAATGACCCATTTTCAAAAGAGGACCTAAAGCTTTATTGAAATGAGAAATGGGAGGCAAAGGTCGTATTTGGATCATGCAATTGAACGAAGTTATAGCGTCTTGGAGACCATTGCATGAGAATGTTGGTAAAGTTTTCGTTATTAAAGCAGCAGCAGCAGGAGGAGAACTAGGGTTTCGGGTAGTAATAGAGAGAGAACAACGAAACAGAACAAATAAGAATGAGGAGCGATGATTAAATAGAGAGGGAAACATTGTACCTTTTTGAGAATTATGATCAGCAATTCTTCTTCTTCTTCTTCGTCCAATAATGGAAGAAACAAAATTCTCCTCCTTGACATCTTCTTCAAGCTCTATGTGTGTGTGAAGAGAAAGACAGAAAATAGTAGTAGAGACTGGTGGAGCAACTTTAAAATGGCTTTGCGAACCGAATAGTAGTAATTATTTTTTTGTCATCTCAAGCCTCTCCAATCTTCCATCAATTTTTTTTTATTAAATTTGAATCAAAGTTGCATAAAAAATTTAATTTGATATGATGCACTTTAATAGTAGATTTAAATTTTTTTTATCAAATCTTGCTATAAGTTCAGTTGTCCAGGAGGACGATCAAGCCATGAGTAAAATTTGATGTTTAAATAAATAAAACTCAATTGTCTGGAGGACATTCGGCCCAACAACCACTTACAAAACTTGACGAAATGTCAAAAGTTCCCTTAATTTGATAAAATATTTTAAAAAAATTCCCTTCATTTGATATTGAATTGATGAAGTGGTTGAAGTACCGTTTTAACTAATTTTTCATTAAATTTAAATTTGATGAAACATTTGATGAAGGATTGCAGATGACCTTATATCTTAAAATTGTGTTAGTTTAATTATAGTGGTTTTGGTAATACTGCTTATTTTTTTAGCGTAAATTACATTCACTATCTTAAGATTTTTGATAATTACACTGATTTTTTTTATTTATTTATTCCAATCTCTTTGTGACTAACGACATTAATAGAAGGGTTAGTTTAATATTTTTAATATTAAAGATATTTTTGTTGTTAACCATTAAATATTTGATTATTATATTAATTATAACTTATGTGGTATTTATTTACGACTCATGTTTTTTAGTTGTGACTAAAAAAATTTAGTTATGACATTTGTGATAATTAAGACCACAAATGTTATAACTTATATATGATACACATAAAATAGTGTGTTTTATTGAATAACTTATTATTGTGACAAAAGTGATGATGAAACAAATTAAAAAATTAATTACATAATAAAATAAGTTATTTGCTAGTTTTTAATCTATACTTATCCTTAAAAAAATAGGAAAAAAATCGATGAGTCTCACTATCTAAATTAATAAAATCAAATTGGGATACTACATATATTTATTATAGTATTAAATAATATTTCTAAATACTCACATAGTTTGATTATATATATAATTTATTAAACTAACTGTTGAACAATCTTCACTGTATTTAAAAAGATTAAATTCTGTTGTGTACAAAACAACAACAAGAATAAAAGAAACTAACTTGTTTACCCAAAAAACAATTAATTGATTCTTTTCATTCTTAATTTACAGATAATCACTTCAAATGTTATGAAAATCAAATTAAAATCCCTTATGTGCTAATTTAACAATTAATCACTAAGTTTCGCCACACGCGCACACAAAAAAAAAAAAAAAAAAACTGTCGATCAAATTAACATTAACTAACGAAAAAGGATAGAAAGTGCAAATCAAAAGTCAACCTTAAAGGCGGTTAGTGTAATTTTAGAAAAAGAATAGGAGATCGGTGTAATAGTCAAAAACCTTATGGGAGATGAGTGTAATTCACTAATTTTTAATAATTAAAAAAATTGATACGTTTAATGGTTGTTTTTCCTTCTTTTTTTTGGGTGCTCAAGCCATAAATTTAATTTTAGATTTTTTTTTCCCCAAAAGTTCAGGCGCTGAATATTTTTTTCATCAACAATGATTCATCCCCCCTTTTTCTCTCACCCCCTTTGACCCCCTCTCTCTCTCTCTCATTGGCTACATTTTCTTTTTCTTTTTCTTTTTTTTTCTGCTCCTCCAATCACCACCCGCCACGTGGCAAAGGGGGTGAGGGGGTGACCCCCAAAAGGGGGTCCCAAGCATTATTCTTTTTTCATAAGGACAAACTCCTATAAAATAAGCAACTACACATGTATATATAATTTTCCAAACCAAACCATTCTCTTTTACATCGTCTCTCTCTCTGTCTCTCTCTCTCACTCTCTCTCTCTCCCTCTTTGCAGCTCTTCTCCCGCTCCCTCTCTCACCACCATTTCCCCTCACCTTCTGCCGCTCAACCACCACCGCCGTTGCCTCTGGCACCTCCTTCCATAGCCTCTGCTACGTCGTCAG